TTATTGTCATTTTTTTGTAAGGAAAGGATAAAATCAATTTTTTTTTAGAAAGTCCTGGTGGCAGCTATATAATAAAGGCATCCATTAATTTTTAAATCCTAAATATTAAAAAAAAATGCTATGCCACTGAAAACAAAATATGTATAAATCCAAAGAAGCAATAATTTTTAAATTTTATTCATTTCACATACCCAAATTTTGTTCGTTTAAAATTTAAGCAATTGAATTTTTCTATGTGTAGTTTGGTGAATTTCATATTAACTCACCGGGTTGCAACAGCAATTTCATGATCAAATCAAATCAAATCAATTCAAATGATTTGAAATAAAATCAAATGATTTGAATCATGATTCAAATCAATTGAATTTGATTTGAATTGATTTGATTTCAAATCATTTGATTGATTTGATTTTATTTCAAATCATTTGAATTGATTTGAATCATGAATCATGATTTGAAATCAAATGAATCAATCAAATCATGATTCATTTGATTTCAAATCATGATTCAAATAAAATCAAATTCAAATCATGATTCAAATCAATTGAATTTGATTTGAATTGATTTGATTTCAAATCATTTGATTGATTCAAAATCATGAATCATGATTTGAAATCATTGAATCATGAATCAAATCAAATCAAATCAATTCAAATGATTTGAAATAAAATCAAATGATTTGAATCATGATTCAAATTTGATTTCAAATCATGATTCAAATGAATCATGATTCAAATTTGATTTGAATCAATCCAATCATGATTCATTTGATTTCAAATCATGATTCAAATCAAATTCAAATGATTTGAAATAAAATCAAATGATTTGAATCATGATTCAAATCAATCAAATGATTTGAAATCAAATCAATTCAAATCAAATCAATTCAATTGAAATCAATTTGAACTTTTGTATGTTGAAGGTGCGATCGTCACTAGTTTTTTACCTCGTTAAGAGGTGTTTTTATTTGATATCAGAAGTTTTTGTTTGTTTACATTTGCTTTCATAGGAGCTAATATATACATTTAAATTAAAATTGGTCAATCATAATTTGTAAGCCATTGTATTTAAACAAATTAAGTTAAAAAGGCGTTTAAGTATTTCAAAATACCTTTTAAACGAGGTATAGCACATGTCGGTACCTTTAGTAGTGTAGAACTTACAAACTAACGAAATTTAGCTATTTTTAGCTTTTTCCCGCTAAAGTAGCGGCTTTTTCCAAAAGTCGTAGAACAAAAGATTCCTATATGGAACTCTTAAGTGCAAATTTACTGATTCCATGACCCTAAAATACAGTTCGGATACCCTCACACAAAATTCAATACCCAGGAAGCTTTAGTTGTTCGAGCTGGCAAAAGTGGCTATTTTCGTATAAAAATAACTTTTAAACGTGACTTTTTACAGTAATGTGTTATATACCAAAATTTAAGGAATCTCAAGGGCTATACAGTTTAAAGTTTTCAAGAAAATCGTTAGAGCCGTTTTTGAGAAAAATAAAAAAAGCTAAAAAAAAATTTAAAAAAAATTGTCTTTTGTTCATATCTTTTTAATTATTACATTTACACAAATTGCATATAGAAGGCGTTTATAGCTTTTAAAAATACCTTTCAAACAAGATGCAGCACAAGTCTGTAGCTTTAGTAGTATAGAAGTTACGGTTTTCCGAATTTTAGCTATTTATAGCTGTTTTCCCGCTAAACTAGCGAGTTTTTCCAAAAGTGGTAGAACAAAAGTTTTTTATATCGATGGGATGAACGTCATATTAAATTTTCAAAACTTAAGAAACATGTTTTGGACAAACTGACAAACTGACAAACTGACAAACAGAATTAAATTTTCATTTTGGGAAGAAGAAGGAAATCTTATTTTGGCTATAACTTTTGAACGGAGCGTCGGATTTTGACAAATGACCCCTCATTCGACGGGTATTTTCAAAAGGAATACAACTAAAACATTGCGAGGGGGAATTTATCCCCACCGGCCCCAACAGCTCCAAATTTCGAAATTTTCATTTTTTCACTTTCACCGCTCTCTCTCCCAAGCCAATTGATTTTCTTAAAGTCTTGGTATGCAATCCTTTAAGTTATTGCAATACCTTTCGATTGGTGTATTACTCATTACGATCGGACTATCACAGCAGATTTTCAATTTTGCGGCTATATAATAGTAGTCGCCTTCGCACACTCTCCTGGTGCGCTTCGTCACTACATGGACTGCCGTCCATAGTGATAGTCGTCCGATTTTGATCAAATTAAAATTGAAATTCGGAAATATTTAAAAAGAGTCATATCCTAGAGTAGAAGATAATACAATAAAAACCAAAGAAGCTAGAATTTATTTCCTTTTCCATTAATTTTCCGATTGTTCCTATGGCAGCTATATGATATAGTAGTCCGATTTTTAAAATATTTTATTCGAAATTCAGAAATATTTAAAAAAATAACATCCCCAAAAGTAGAAGGTAATATTTCAAAAAACACCGAAGCTAGAATTTTTTAAAGTTTTTTTTTTTCGATCCTTCCTATGGGAGCTATAAGATATAGTTGTCCGATCCGGTCGGCACCGACATATATACTACCTGCAATAGAAAGAAGACTTTTGCGAAAGTTTCGTCCCGATAGCTCAAAAACTGAGAGACTAGTTTGCGTAGAAACAGACAGACGGACAGACGGAGAGACGGACAGACGGACAGACGGACGGACAGACGGACAGACAGTCAGACGGACAGACGGACATGGCTAGATCGACTCGTCTTGTGATGCTGATCAAGAATATATATACTTTATGGGGTCGGAAACGTCTCCTTCACTGCGTTGCAAACTTCTGACTGAAATCATAATACCCTCTGCAAGGGTATAAAAATTGTCAAAAGTAGGCCTTTAAAACTATTTTGTATACAAATTGTTGTTGGAATTGATATACACTTTTACACTTTACAAAGTTTGCAACGCAATTGAACACCCTGATTGTATTTATGCAAACTTACATGCTTGGCATCGATACCTTCGGGAGAACCGAGACGTATTTGCTTTTCCACCCACTCGCTAAGCTGATGGCACACCTTGTTCGTCACCGGATAGACCGTCTTTATCTATAAATGGAAAAGATACATCGATATATTTACGATGTGCATGTCTTCGGATGCACTGCATCTTACCCGTCCCATTGTTAAACCAGGAGTCACGTCTGCCCGCCTATTCTTCCATTTTTCGCCAGTTAGGGTGAACGGATTATTCGCAAAAATGAAGTCGCTTTTTTCATCAATGTTCTTTGAAATTTCGTTGTCATGGAAATTCTTGAAGTTTGATACGAATACTCGCCGGGCCAACTCGGGATTGACAACCAACAGCTGTGGAGCGCGGGAGCCAAAAATGCCCACAGCATCGTACTTGTTCTTGTACTGCCTAAATATAGTTATAATTAAATTATAATCGGTCAATTAAAAGACACATTAAGTCAGGCCGCCAGATTTCTATGGGGGCTAGGAGCCTATAATGCCGGACTAAAACTAGTATTACAAACTATTATATTATACAATAAATAGCATTAAGATTCATAATAAATTTCTCTTAGTGAATGTTTACAAAACGAGATATTTTCTTATCGACTATTTCTATAGGATAGTCCAATGGAAAAAGGGGGGTACAGAAACAGTAAATTATTTTGGACCGCTCCTGACGTTTACTTTTAGATGGAATACTCACCTATAGATGTCATTCAGATCGTAGATGGCATGTCGCTTCATGGTAAACATGTGTGGATAGTTGCCGCAGAAAAGCTTGGGCTTGGGACCCGGCACCCCCCGCTTTCTCCAGTGATCGTAGTTCCATATGAAAACAGCATATAGCATGCCCACCGCCAACGAAACTAGGGTTAATGTAATGACTACCATTCTGAACTGCTTTAAAATAGACCTCCACACGCAAACAACTCAGCTCAGCGTCTGCGACGACACCGGAAAATGAGCTATATTTGTAGCTCATTAGATTTCGATACTCAGACCGAGTACTCAAGTACTTACATAGATAAAAGCTTACCACAATTGCAGGCGGTCAATCTACCTATCAAGCTTTAATAATCTATTTTAAAAAAGTTTGCTGGTGAAATTCACCAAAAAAAGCTTTCTTTACACGTTGAAAAATTTCATTAACCAATTAAACCAAAATTTAAGAAATTTAATTTTATGGACAATGGTTCAAGTCGGGGAAAATTTTTGTGTAATACCTTGGAAAACTTAAAATCTTGGAAATTAAAACAAATATATATTTTGTGTTCCTGCTTTGTTCTTTGCATCAAGGTTATGCAATTAGAATGTGATTCCGGGATATACAACGGCAAGCTAAATAAGATGTTCTAATGTGTGCAGTTCTAGTTTATCTGAATTTCAACGGATGTGTGGTTTTACTTTGAGGAACTTAAATTAAATTGAGTGATATTGAGAGCTCAGTTTGATTCGGAACGCTGTACAGAACTCATTACAGAGATAGGAAAGTTTTATGTGAATTTCTGCTGAATTTCACAAGCTTACTGATTTGCACAATGCCACAAACTCTTTGGGTGTGTCTGGTTATTTTGATAGTACTCATTGACTTCCTTCAAGCCCACGGTCCAAATGTTTGTAATAAGCCTGAGATGGTTACGTACACCCGGTCCGTCTACAAAAGTAAATCGGTACCTTACCAGAAACATTCATTTTGGAGTGGTTGGCAGACGAAATATCGCACGGAATACTCCTATCAAGATGAGGTAAGTGAAGGTTTTATGTGCTTTACCTGATGTGAAAGTAAAATTATTAAAACAATTATTTTTTCATGAACTGTTTAATATAAATTTTAATATTTTCCAAAAAATTCCAATCTATAAAGTTCGTTAGCGAAAATTTCTTTGGTTAAGAGTCTATTCTTCTTAATTTCCGGCTGTGCTGATAATGTTCGGAATACATACAATATGAGGAGCGAATGTAAGCACTACAAAATGAGGGTCCAGTTCGGTTTTGATCACTGAGGGGAACGGTTGGCTTAAGATAGTGAATATATGTACTTTAGGAAAAAACACTGAGTCATATTATTCATGTATTCGATATCCCTTCAATTTGCGTGCCTGGCAGTGACCTTTGGCCTAGGTTCGGGCCAAATCTGGCCCAGAAATGTTTGCAGTAACCCAGAGAGGGTTACATATAATCATAGAGTTATGAAGTTTAAACAGGTGCCTTATCAACAGTATTCATATTTCGGAGGCTGGCAGACAAAGTATAGGCAAGAGCCTGTATGGGAAACCGAGGTAATGGGGGTTAACCTAACTTAAGGTTAAAATATATTACATTATTATATTTTACCCTAGGTTGCCTACAGATTTGAGCCGAAGTACAGCTGCTGTAGCGGCTACGAGGGATCCATCTACGACTGCAAGCCCTCCTGCAAGAACAAGTGTCCTGTCAACGGTTTCTGCGTGGCTCCCGATCAATGTAGCTGCAACGGGGGTTACGGCGGATCCGATTGCCAGCCAATTTGTGAGTCGCCTTGTGGCAAGAACGAGTTTTGCGAGCGACCCGGCGAGTGCAGCTGCCAAAGTGGCTACCATCGAAGTTCTGCCCATGAAAATTGCCTTCCCGTTTGCGCCGACGGCTGTGGAGATCATGGCTTCTGTTCCGAGCCTGGCAAATGCGAGTGCCAGCCCTCGTATGAAAAGCTGGAAAATGGCACTGATTGTCTGCCAGTTTGCGACCCGAAATGTGGCCAAAACTCCTACTGTCAGGAGCCGCAGTTGTGCACCTGCTTGGAAGGCTACAAGGCCGATGAGCAAGGCACTTGCTCACCCATCTGCCAGGAGGATTGTGGTCCCAACAGTCGGTGCTCGAAGCCAGGGTTCTGCGAGTGTGAGCAGGGATATGCCGGTGACGAAAGAGGAGCCAATTGCCAGCCAGTTTGCGCCAGTTGCCCGGAGAATGCAAAGTGCCTAAGTCCCAGCAACTGCATCTGCAATCCCGGCTACGTGATGAAGGACAATCGCTGCGAACCGCATTGCGAGGAAGATTGCTCGGACTATGGACACTGTGTGGCGCCCAATCAGTGCGAATGCTATGAGGGTCATGAAGAGACGGGGGAGGACAGGAAATGCGCCCCCAAGTGCTCCAAGGGATGCCCAAATGGGGTCTGTTATTCCCCGGAAATGTGCGTCTGCAATCCTGGCTACCTGATGGGACCCAATAGTGTCTGTGAGCCGCGCTGCAGCCTCAACTGTGTCCACGGAAAATGCACCCAGCCGGATACTTGCTCCTGCGATCCGGGCTATCGATTTGAGGAGAACTCCACTCATGTTTGCCAGGCGATCTGCGATAGCGGCTGCAAGAATGGTGATTGCATGGCTCCCAATATTTGCATATGCCATGTGGGATATCAGCCAAACGACACGAATCCTGCGACTTCTGTGTGCAAGCCTCAATGTGCCGAGGGCTGTGAGTTTGGAGATTGCGTGGCGCCTCAAGAGTGCCTTTGCTGGAGGGGCTACGAGAAAATCAATGGGGTTTGCAAGCCACAGACCACGACTTCCACTTCCACCTCTACGACAGAAGCTGCGAAGACATCTTCGGAGAGCGACGCCTTGATTGCCAACGATGATCAGCAGCAAAGGACAACCCCAAAAACAGAAGTCACATCATCCACCGAAGTCCTGCGAGTTCATCACTCAAACTGCACTGGTGGTTGCTATTGCTGGATCGAGTACGATGAGGAGGGTACCTTCAATACGGCCAAGTGCGCCAAGATCTGTGTGGATCCTCAGGACCAACCCTGCCTGAATTTGGATAACTGCCACTGTGATCCACCGAGCGGCCAGTTGGTTTGCAAAGAAGACAGTAGTGAGGATGGCAGCTCAGAGGAGTCGCATTTCGTGTGCAAAATACAGCAGCAGGGCAAGAAAGCAAGATCGGAGGCTGAGGTCAGAGTTCCTGAGAACAGCACCGCATCGTCCACCAAATGGATGGTCATCATGGGCTCCTTTGCTGGAATCATCCTTGGTGCAGCCCTCGCAGTTGTGGCCGCAAAGTACTATCGACGTTCTACCTCCAGGCGAGATTACGAAGCCGACGAACGCATCTATGAAACTGAATTTGAATAGTTCTCATTTATACCTCCCTATGTAAAGCAGTATACTTACCTACATATTATATAATCGAATATAATAATAATCATTTTTATTAAATGTAAATAATTTTCATTACTTTATCTTAATAAAAATTAAAGCAAACGTACGTAAACTTGCTTATTTATTTGTTTTTGGAACACATAAGCTTGAAAACTTAAGTCTAATTGATTTAATATTATTTTTTGATATCGGTGCCGTTAAAGCTTGACATGGAAATGGAATTTTCACAAATTTCTATTCATTTAACGTTAGAAAAGATAGTTACAAAAAGTATTTATCTGTTTTTTTGGTGCTTTTTACTTTCAGATTCCCATTCACATCACACAATTATTCATCATAGCTTTTATATATTTGTTTGGCTATTTATCATTTTAGCTTAGATATGGTTGCTCTACAGTTACATCCCAGAAACGTTTGGCACGCAGAGGTTTAACCATTGAGTCATTTATGACGACATGCACATATTTTCTAACCGAATACATATAAGTGGATTTCTGTACATATATGATTTCTTATCGCTATTTAATGTTTCTAACTGTAGCTTTAAAAAGGCTTCACCGAAACATTTGCACACACTAAAGCTTAGTTGATATTTTGGCACAGCACGGAGCAGTTGCCCCAAAGAAGTATCCAGGCCTAAAACATCAAAAGAAATATAAAATAAAAAAAATATGCTTAAATTTCAACTGATTTTTGTTTGCCTGTTATTGTGCGCTATTACCACCGCAATGGGGCACGGTTCAAAAAAAAGTGACGAAGAGTATCCGTCGGTGAAAAAAGTACGTAACGTTTTAAATTTTTGTATACATGTGGTTTTACTTAAATAAAGTTTTAGAACTATTAAATTAAATAAATATGAGTAAGAAAAATAGAGAGAGACATTAATCTATTAACAAAGTTAAGCCACCTATTTAAATCGAAAGTGAAAGGTCTAATCCCTACTAAATACTTATAAAAAATGGCGAAACAAAAAATATTAATAGTACATTTTGTTTTATAGGCGGCCCCAAGCGAAGTTCCCACCCCGAATCCTATTGATTCAGAATCGGATTCACCTACAGGCGAAAGTACGGAAACTGCAAAAATTACTCAAAGTACCCAAAGTGCTCAACGAACGCCAAGTACTCAAAGTGCAGATGGAAGTTCTGAAGGAAGTACTGAAGAAAGTACTGAAGAAAGTACTGATAAAACGACCACCGCAACATCGCCAAAACCAGTTGTTAAAGCCCCTGAGCCCGAAAATAGTTCAGGTTGGAAAACATTCGGTCTTTGGTTCTTTAGCATTGCCCTTGCCGTGGCTATTTTAGCAGGGGCCGTATATTACATAAAGCGTCGCCATGGTACCTATTCGGTGCGGAACCAGTGTGAACCCAACGAACCTTACGAAAATACCGTCGTTGAATTTAATGATCGAAAATAGACGTGCAGCACTAACACAAATTTAAAAAGGAAAAATTACATTTTTTTGCTTGTATTAGATTTTTCAAATGTAATTTTCAATTTTCCCCTTACTCTACGAGTAACGGGTATAAAAACGTGTTAATGCGTCATTATAACGTCTCTAAAATATTTTATCTAGACCGGATGAGGGCAAGTAAAAAAAATGTTTTTTGTATTATAATCGCTATGTAATACATACTGAATTAAGCTTTAAAACACATTTTCAAATCTGCATTTCTAATAAACTTTTACGATAAGAAATTATAGGATTCCTTTTTCATTGTACTTTATATTGGGGTATTTTATATTTTCTCAACTTTTATTTTGACACGAGTGGAGATCAAAATGTAAGATTGGTTAAAGTTGTGGGCCGCCTAGACCGGAACGCACATGGTGGATTGCTCGTGGTAGGTGAATCCCGGATCGCAGATGCACCGATTGCGACTGACACAAACGCCATTGTTGCACTTTCTGCGAAGATTAAAAGAATAATGATTTTAATAGGGGGCTTATTCCAAACCGGAATTATAAAATGACTCACTGATAGCAATCGGCCTGGCAGACGCCATCCCTGATATGTAAGCCCGGTGCGCATTCGCACTGGTTGTTGTCCTTGCAGAGGCCCCCGATTCCGCAGTCCGGTTCGCAAACGGGCTGGCAACCGTCGTCGGTGAGCTGGTATCCCTTGGAGCAGCCGCAGACCTCCGGTTCGGTGCAGTTGTGCCGCGGACTGATGCCACACCCATTGCTGCAGATGGGGCGGCAGAAGCGACGCGTCTCGTCCAGCTTGTAGCCAGGATCGCACTGGCAGCTGCCGTCGAGGAAGCACTGGCCATTCTGGCAGCCCAGCGGACAGGCGAACACACAGTCGCCGTTGTCGTTCTTCACGAATCCCTCGTAGCACTCGCACTCCCCCGGAATTCTGCAACCCCCGTTCTGACAGCCACATTGCGCCCGGCACACGGTGACGCCCTTGAATCGACTGGGCGCGTAGCCGGTGCAGCAGACCTCGATCAGGGACAACCGGTTAGCCTGGTCCGGCTGGATGACACTGGCATGCGGGTACTTTTCAACCGTATCGGGTCTAGCAAGAAAAATGTTGAAAAAAAGATTGAGTGTTACTAAATCTTAAAAATGACTGATGCTTAGGCAAGTAAAATGGATTATTATCTACTCGAATTTACATGGTGATGTAACACAACCAAATAAATATGAAATTATGAGTAGACTTCTTACTTCTTATTGTGAGTAGAGAAATAAAAGAGTTATGATTAAGACCCTAAACTTAGTCATGCAAGACTTTGTTATTCTGGGATTTAAAAAAACATTTAACAAAAAATATAAAAACAAGAATAGTTTGTTTTCAGTGCAGGCAAGTACTTACGGCACCAAAATGCGGCACTTATGCTGCCCTCTATCGGACGGCGTTTCATGCGATCGAATCATATATTCGCGACGTTTCGGTGGCTGCTCAACCATTCTGGGATCCTGGAAGCTGTTTGGTCCAGGTCGATTAAAGGACAGCTGCCTGTTTTCCATATATCCACGGCTACCATAGCTACCAGGATCCTGGGATACAGGTCTCCTATTGTATCGCTCTGAATAGGTGGGCACATTGGTGTAAATGGTGGGCAGACACACCATCAACTGAATGAAACTCAGACGAAGACCTAGATCTCGTAGCCACATTTTAAGGGCTCGCGCGATTTAATTCCGATTCCAAAATGTGTTTACAATTTGCCAGCTAAAATTATACTAATTTTCGCCGCTTGAACAGAGTAGATTTTGTTGTCTTATCAGAAAAGCTATATTCGATGCATAGACGAAAAAGAGAGGAATCGAATTGTTTTTTGTTTTTCTGAGAGAATGAAAATCATTTAAGGCTAAGCTTTATTTTTTAAGTGCTACGAATTCTTGGTACCTATTTTAATATGATGTATTTTAATGTTTTATAAGGGATATAAATAATAGAAAATAAATTATTAAATAATATTATAAATTTAATTGTCCCTATATACAAATTTGTAAAAAGTTCCCAGTTTTAAAAATATTTGAATAATTTAGTTATTAATATTATGCCTCAAAGTCTCTTAATTTTTTTCCATCTCTAAGAACCCAGAAAAACAAGGCAAATCATGCAATTAGCAATGAAACCCCATAAAACAATCTTTAGTTCGTTCTCACTTGACATACATTGGCCTTGCGGTCCCTGGATCTCCGGCTCGCGATCCGAATTAAATGCTGAAAGCCCTCTTATCTTTGCCTCCGGCTGTGATTAGAGACTGGGCCCTGCTGCGTCGTCGGCGGAGCAGTAAACAACCGCGACTTGAGCGTTTCGGTGGCGCGCCACAAATAAATCTGTCCCAGAGTTGAGATGTCGCCGCTTCTGCGCTCATTGTGCCTGAACTCGGTGCTCCTGGTCCTGTTCCTCTGCGTGCTGCAGGCGGTGGAGTTGCAACTGCACGAGCAGCAGTTGCAGCAGCAAAAGGACGAGCTGTTGCGTGTGCGCGAGGAGCAGCGTCAGCGGGATCAGCAGCGGGAGCACGAGGCCCTCCAGCGACGCCTCTCGTCCTCGACCACCAGCCGGAAGCCCTATATTATACCCAATGGATTATCGCTTCCCCGGCGGGGTGAACATCCGGAGAAGTGCCGCCGGGAAGTGCCGTAAGTTGAAATAAAACGCTATTTAATTCTATTATTAATGATTGTAAATAATCCCACCTCCAGGGCCGTGTTCTTCCAGTACGACAAGGAAGTAAAGATCGTGGGCAACAGCACCACCAATCAGAACTTCACCGAGATCGAGGTGTGCTGCAAGGGCTGGCGGCGCTACGAGTACGATTGGAGCCAATGCGTCCCCGACTGCGGGGAGCGGTGCCAGGAGAACGGCTTCTGTGTGGCCGGTGGAATCTGCCAGTGCTTCACGGACTTTGTGCTGGACTACCGCAACAACTGTGTGCCCACCTGTCCGCTGGGCTGTCCGCATGGCCAGTGCTACCTGAACGGGACCTGTCACTGCGATCGGGGCTACGAGCTGGACGGATCGCAAAAGTTCTGCCAGCCGCAGTGCAATGCCACCTGTGGCCACAACGAAGTCTGCTGGGAGCCGGGCAAGTGCTCCTGCGCCGAGGGCTATGCCCGTGGCCTGAGGGAGTCCGCGGCCCTGGGCTGCCAGCCTGTCTGCATTCCGGACTGTGGATATGGACACTGCGTCGGGCCAAACCAATGCGAGTGCTTCCCCGGCTATAAGAAACGGGCAAACGGCATTTCCTGCGAAGCCGAGTGCTACAAGTAAGTCAGCTAGCCTAGAAACTAATAACTGAAATAACAGGATTGACATGTAGAATAGGACAAGCCCTACGAAAATGAAAACCAAAAATGTTTAGAAATGATATTTGCAAGAATTCCGCCTGAAATTATTTATAAAAAATTTAATACAATTTTAATACAAAGAAGAGCTAAAGTAAAGACCTCTTAATAAAGTGAATACAACTATTTCTAGCTAAAACTTTAAAAGTTTACAGCAGAAATTTTTGCAGAAAATTTCTAAATTATAAGTATTTATAAAAATTCGTAGGTTTTGAAGATCATCTGACGAAAACCAAATCAAGCGATGAAAGTTACAATCTATATTCTTAATTTGTTAATTTAAAGTTAAAAATCTAGTTAAATGCTACCAAAGGAGCAGCTCCTTCTGTTTATTACAAGATCGACTAAAAGAGTGCTATTTGCCAGCTTATTGAATTTCTTCCATTTTAACTATCTTTTAGGCGCTGTGAGAATGGCTTCTGTGCGAATACGACGACGTGCGTGTGTCAGAATGGCTATCGCTATGACCAGAACACGACGAGCTGTCTGCCGGATTGCGGGGACAACTGCGAGAACGGGGTTTGCATCTCGCCGGGGAACTGCCGCTGCTTCAAGGGCTACGTCCGGAATCGAGAGAAGTGCGAGGCGGTCTGCGTGGGTGGATGCGGCTTTTACGGCAAGTGTATAGCCCCGAATGTGTGCGGATGTGCGGTGGTCCCGGGTCCGGAGAGAACCTACCAGCGATGCAAGTACGGATTGTGCAACGCCATGGGACGATGCCGCTGCCAGGTGGGAATGACGCGCTTCATCGACCGGTGCATGTCCCCCGATACGGTCACCACCTACGCCTCCATGAATCCCATCAAGGTGAACGCTTCGCTGATCCAGGAGTTCAATCTGCTGCTCGGCAGGCACTTCAATTTAACCCCTCTCACAGACACTTGGTGGCTGTGAGATAAGGGTTCTTCGGTTCCCCTACTAAAATACTTTCATATTTTCAGAGTCACAAAGAAATCAGTAATAAATACTCACATACATTTCTCAAAAGTCGCGGTCTTATCAGTGGTTCTACGCATATCTTGTGGGTAGATCTTTGGGGCATGTATTTTTTTGGGGCTACTCGAATTTAGATTCAAATAAATTATACCCCTTAATAAAATAATTTACTCAAGTATGGTAAATTAGTTTTCCGGCTTTCTGAATGGTTATTTAATTTTCATCTGCCAAATCAATATACCCCACATATGCCGGGTACTAAAATACTAATTATCTTCTAAGGAATATAGAACATTTCTTTCTCCGCACACTTAAAAGCCGAGCTTGACACAGACGACAATTTAGTAGCTACGAGACGTTGGCGAGCATTGCGCTCGCATCTTAATCCGACCTCGCTCTCAGTTAAATTTCGAGCAAAATGCACTTGACATCCACGCTGATTAGCCTTCTTATCGTGGGTCTCGTCGGACTCGAGCTACCCACTCCCGCCGTCGCCCAGTTCTGGAAAAGTGTTAAGAGCGCCTCAAATGGGGATCCTAACTCCATGTGGCGCAGTGAGACGCTGGCCCAACGGCCCCCGGGAATCTGCTACAGGAGCCTTATGTAGGTAGGCCATTCGGTTCGTCTAACCAATCTTAAGACCCCATTCCTCTTTTAGTGTGGAAACCGTGAATCCGAACTCTAGACTCCGACAGATCTCCTACTGCTGCGATGGCTATGTGAATAGAGGGAATACCCAGAACCTGAAGTGTGAGCCTATCTGCAGAGAGGATTGCTCGAATGGGGTGTGCATCACGCCCGGAAGTTGCGAGTGTGCTCCGGGTTACTTCCGGCAGAATAAAAAGTGCCGTAGCGAACAGGATTATGATCAATAAATAAATGAACGATAGCAAACCAAAAAGCTTGAATACCAAAAATGACGATCTTAACTCTTTATTTATAATACACATTGATAAAAAAAAGAAAACAAAGAGAAAAATAAAATTTAGAGGAATTTAAATATATAACACAAAATCGAACGAAAAAATTTAATTTGTATATTTTTTTTATAATTCTTAAAAAGATTTGGAGGTCACACTTATCTTTCAGACCTTTTTAATTCTTTATTCTCTTGAATAAGAAACGTACTTTTTTCTTAAAAAGATTCGTGAGTGGCTTAGAATCATCATCGACATGTTTTGCAACTTTAGAGCTGGCCTTTCATCAAGTCAAAAACTCTCGCGAGTACCTGAAGTCATCGTTAAGCGTCAAACTTTTCTTGGAATTACCCAAAAGCAATGAATTTTGTTTACGAGCCGCAAAAATATAGAAGTGATCGATTTGCTCTGCCCGAAAGCAGCTGAGGAGAGCAGCAAACCTTCGCTCCGCTTGCCTCATTGATAGGTCCAATGACGAGGTGCTGATTAGGAGGGGGACAAGAGGTCGCCGCCGGAGGCGATTGGCGACTGAGAGATCCGCCGGCTTCGCATCGGGAGGCGATTAGTCGAAGTGCAACTACAGCCGCCAGCGGACGTGGAATAAATCGCACAATAAATTTACATACCGAAGCCATAATCAAGTGACATCATCATGAGGTCATCGTGTCAGCTGCTGCTGTCCCTGACTGTTCTGCTGGCCATCTGCTCCCTGGGCCAGGGACAATTCAAGACTTCGGGCATAAAGACGCGCCAGCCGCCATCGGGAAACCTCCAGCTCTCGGGAAATAGTACTGAGTTTGGATGGAGTAGCTACAACCAGAGCAGTTTTGGCTGGAACAATCAGAACCAGAGTAACTACGGCTGGGGAAACCAAAACCAAGTGGGCCAGGAATCCAGCTGGGGCAACCAAAACCAAGTGGGTCATCAGGGATCTAGCTGGGGCACCCAAAGCCAAGTGGGCCAGGAATCCAGCTGGGGTAACCAAAACCAAGTGGGTCATCAGGGATCTAGCTGGGGCACCCAAAACCAAGTGGGCCAGGAATCCAGCTGGGGAAACCAAAACCAAGTAGGTCAGGGAGCCACCTGGAACAGCCAAAACCAAGTGGGTCAGGGATCCAGCTGGAGCAACCAAAACCATGTGGGCCAGGGATCCAGCGGATTCGTGCCTGCCGAGACTTACCAACCCTCCACATTGCCACCACTTTTTGGACACTATGTCCAGCCGGTTAATCCGCCGGTTCATCGGGCCCAAGTCCTCGATGAGACGGCCCTGTTCATCAACAAAACCCGATCTGCCATGGCCAGCGGTGTGTGCTTCAAGGACGTTCCGTAAGTATAATCCAAAAATAATCCAAATCGGGAGGAAAACATTTCTATAATTTCACTAAAAGTTATCGCCCAATTCGGAAGGCATTCGAAAACAAGGCAAACAATTAAAATAGTGAACTAACGACCTCAGCTTCCTCTGCTGGCCTGATAATTAAATGCGACTTGACTTTACAAGTATATGTATGCCAAGCTAATAATGTGAATGAATTTAATATGCAACGGAAAGTTAGTAGATAAGCTGGAAGTTTGTGCAATTTAGTATTAAAAATGAATTCTTTAATTTAGCTTAATAAATTTGAAAAATAAAGTAACAACTTATCTTGCAAAAATTAAAATAAAAATAATGAAATACCAATATTTGAATCAAAGCAATTAAAAAACTCTTAATATGTCATATAACTATGGAAACCAATGATTTAAAACTAGAACTTAATATTTTTAAATTAAAGTAAAAGTTATCTGTATTAAATAGTAATCAAATTTTTAAATGTTTTAATTAGATTTTAGTATTGATCACTGATGTGTTTCGAAATATTAACTATTTTAAAAAGTAAATAACAGGAACCCTGATCACAAAATTTATTTAAATCCAGAACCTCCTCGCTCCTCCGCAACTCCCGGGATCAGTTCGTGGGCAACGGCACCTCTCCGGACATGAGTCGCATCCAGGTTTGCTGCGAGGGCTACGAGCGGAACCCGCACATTTACCGCCGCTGCGAGCCGATCTGCGCCGACGACTGCCACAATGGCATCTGCACCGCTCCGAACACCTGTGTCTGCATCCCCGGTCACGTTCGCACCTCCGAGGGCAAGTGCATCTCCACCTGCCCGCTGGGCTGCGGCAATGGGGTGTGCGACGACAAGAACGAGTGCAAGTGCCGCGAGGGATATTCGCTGGAGCCGGAGAGTCGCAAGTACTGCCAGCCGGAATGCAATCCGGGCTGCACCTTCGGACGCTGTGTGGCGCCCAACAAGTGCGCCTGCCTTGAAGGATACCGCCTGGCCGCCGACGGATCCTGCGAACCGGTCTGCGACAGCTGTGAGAACGGAAAGTGCACGGCTCCAGGACGCTGCAACTGCAACGGTGGCTACCTCAAGCTCCAAGGTCGCTGTGAGCCCATCTGCTCGATGTAAGTAGGCCTTCCTATAAGATAGGGTTCTTGAGATCAATAAATATGTTTGTAATATTTAATACTTAATTGCCAAAGAAGGAATACTCGCTAATTTCCCTTATAGCTCATTGAAAATTATTATTGAAATGTAGAGGAAACAACAGCTTTCTTCAAAAGTTTGCTTTGGTAATCATATGCTATACTATTATTATTACTATACTATTATTATAGTAAAATAAGCAATTTATAATTTTCTTTAAATTTGTTTAAATTTTAAACGTTAATTTTGATATTATAAATATTTTGTAGTATATTACATCCCTAGTTTCTTATTTCTTAAATTATAAAGATTTATTATTTAGCTAAACTGATTAATTTTTGTATTCTCTCTCCAATTTCAGACCCTGCAAGAACGGACGCTGCATTGGCCCGGACATCTGTGAGTGCACTTCCGGCTTCGAGTGGGACCGGAAGTCGGCCGAGTGTCTGCCCAAGTGCGACTTGCCCTGCCTGAATGGCGTCTGCGTGGGCAACAACCAATGCGAGTGCAAGACGGGATATGTGAGGGACGAGCACCAGCGAAACATCTGCCAGCCCCATTGCCCCCAAGGCTGCCAGAATGGCTTCTGCAGTGCCCCCAACTTCTGCATTTGCCGGCCGGGATTCATCAAGAGCGGCATCAAGGGACGCCAGACCTGCCAGGCCGTCTAAGTTAGACCTCCAATCTGTTTTTATTGTTTCTTCTTAGATCAAAAATTAAATAGACGCCCAATCAGGGCATTAAACTCGTAAGCCAGCTGACGATTAAAGTGTTTTCTCTTTTCGCTGGTATTGAGTTGCTGGATGAGTTGGTCGGGCTTCAGGCAGCGATCTATAAAGTGTGTTTCCCCCGCAGGACACGTACAATGCTCCACATCATCGCAGCTTCCATTGCGGCAATGCTGTTGACCCTGACCACAGCCGCAGATCTCAGGAGCCACACATCGACCGAATTTTCCACAGGATCTGGGAAACAAAATTATGGAAATTAAAAGTGGGAAGATTTAATCATTAGGACACTAACCTTTGACACTTGGGACGACAGTCGGCACCATGGGCTTCGTATCCTTCAAAGCAGCGACAAACTCCGGGTGCAATGCACACCCCATTCCCTTGGCCACAATTGTCGATGCACACCGGCAAACAGCTAGTGGTATTCACGTTGTAGTGATATCCTTCTCGGCAGTGGCACTTGTACCTCGACTCACAGAAACCATTCTCGCAATTTCTGAAAGGGTTTTAAAAATGTCAAATAAGTTAATATTATTATTCCCGCAATTGCTGAAAGGGTTTTAAAAATTTCAAATAAGTTAATATTATTAAAATTATTTTCTTTAGATTTTAAACTTAATAATAAGAAGAGAGAATTACACAGTCGAGTGCCTCGACTATTGAATACCAATTATTTAGCTATTTGAGTGTGAGCGAGATGGAGATATGCAAACAGCAAGGCAGTCAGTTGCTTACAGTGGCGCCATCTAGAGGAGTAAGCATTCTTGCTCATAACTTTTTAATGAGTGGTCCGCTTTAAACAATTTTTTCTACGTTTTACTCTACGAAACACTTACAGGTAGCACTCAGCTTCGCAGACATTTCTGTTCGGCCTTTTTATAAATCCCGCGAAGCAGTCGCACTGGTTGGGCGCCACGCACTTTCCGAATCCGCAGTCCGGGGCGCAGACAGGCTGACATCCCAGATCCGCCGTCCGCCTATAGCCGGGAGAGCAGTCGCACTGTCCGGGCGCCACACACTCCTCGTGGGTGCCACAGGCCTGCGAGCACTGTGGACGGCAGAACTGCCGGGTATCCTGATCCAGGACGAAGCCCCGATGGCAGGCACAGGTGCCGTTCAGATAGCACCTGCCGTACTGGCAGGCAATGGGACAGGTGTGGATGCAGGCGCCTTGCTCGTTGCGAACGAACTCGGCGAAGCACTCGCAGTTTCCGGGACTACGGCAAAAGCCATTGCGGCAATTGTCTGGTGAAGATTCGGAGCAATCCGGCACACAATCCTGGGAGTGGGCATCCCGACGATAGCCCGCACAACAGACCTCTATGCGATGGTAGTAGATCGTCGAACCATTGCCGCGCACCGGGGAATCCTTCTCGGTTTGGAAAAACACAGTGCTGTAATCGGGTAATCTCATAAATCTCAAGGGCTTCCCCGTCTATATGTCTAGTCTATATGTTTATCAATTAAAAGCCAAAATGTGTTTTTAATGAAATATATATACTCTGCGACTGGAGTTTCAATAATAAAAACTATGCTGTACTCACGGCACCTCGCGATGGCAGAGATGTTTCTGTTGCTCGCGGGTTTGACTTAGTGACTCAAAATCGCCGTATTCCGTATTCTCTATATCGCCGTAAAGCTCTGTGGAATCGGCCTGAATAAGGGCAGGAAATGCCACCAGCGTCAGCAGAGCGGTAAACACGGCCAACGGTCCACTAAATTGCATCCCGCCTTATTGTTCTAAGCTTCGATGTCGAAGAGCGAATGAGTGAGCTGCCTTGGGACTTGGATGTACTTATGAGGGCTGCCTTATCAGCATGGCCTCTCACTCTCGGGACTCGAAAACGTTCTAGAGAAACGCTAAAATTAAGCTTCAATCGTTTCTCCCCGGTCAAACATTTAAAGTAATTATAATTCCAGTTTTATCTTTAATATTATTTTAATTTTATTAGCTACATAATAAGTGTAGTTCACTTATACATTGACGTTTAATTAATATACTTAAATGGTAATACAAATAAATTTTATTACTTCTCTCGCGACATATTTTCTGTTTAAATCTTATCGTTAATGATTCCCATATGAGTTTATTTTAATAATTCTGGTGGAGTCGAATCCAAATCCGTTGCATTTTCAACTACCCAGTTCTCACTGTGCATACGAATTTCGTATGAATAAGCTTCTTGCTTCTTTTCTTAAATATTTTCTGATAATTTATAGTTATGAATATAAGAAAGATTACCAGTAAAATATACTTATTATTTTAATGCATTGTAATAGCTGAGAAAATAAGCAGTTAAAGAAACATTTAAAATAATTTTTATGGGAAAATGTAATAAATGTATATCCATTTAAAAAGATCTGTACAACACGTAAAAGTTACCACAAGTTATACTTTTTTTAATATCTACAGGGAACCTAATTTTTCGGCAACTCACTAAAATATTTAATAAATTCAAGACCGTGGGCTTAATATTTCTGATCCTCCTCACAGGTGGGCAATCCTTTTGGCTGTGATTTGGGCAGGAACCTGCAAGAAGTTGGAGTTTTGTGGGGGGATTATCAGGTGGGTGACATGGTGCGATCGTTGGTGGGGATGAAGGCCCCCACTGGAGAACTGGTCATTACTGGGCATCACTGGCGGCCTGGCTGGCAAAAAAGCGGAGGCAGTTGTGGAGTGCTGGACGTGTTGGTGGTTCCGTGGGTGGTGCTGGTGGTGGTGGTGGTGCTGCTGGTGGTAGCGGATCTCATCATACAAATGCGAGTCCAGGCTGCCTTTGCGAGATTTTGGCGAGACCATCGAGTACAGGGATTCCTTTCTAGCATAAGCGTAGGGCGGTGTTTTAATCGAAGAGTTGTTACTCGGCGTGTCATATAATTCTGGTTGTACTGTGGGGTAATTTGTAAAAATATGAGTTTTTAATTAAATTTTCTGTGAAATTATTTTAGGTTAAAGTCCTGATTTTATTATATTTTTGGTATAGGGAAATTGAGTTAAAATAAATATTAAAATAACATGATCCATTAAATTTCAAAAATAAATCAAATTAGTTTGTAATGTTTCAAATTTAAATTAGTAAATAACGGACATCCAAATTTTTCTCTTTGTTGAATTTAAATTTAAATTGATCAATATTCCTAATTTTTGGTGATCGTGTGATAGCTACTTTAAGGTCGGCAGAGACACTTACATACCCTCGTTCGAGTGGGGCGTGACCGCAAAGACCACCGGTGGCTCGGGTAGTGGTTCGTGAAAGTTCTTCCCCAGGGCCGCGGCCTCGGTAAGCACCACTTCCGGATTCGCAGGCAACGTGGTCACTGTCCCATTGGCATTGTAAACGGCTGAGTTTTTATGGTGATACCGACGATACACGTAGAGTGAGCCCACCGCAATGGCGATGAGCAGGAGCAGCATTATGCTGACTAGTGTGGTCACCAAACCGGACTGATGATCCGCTGCCGATGCCTGGCTTGTATTGGAGTCACCGCCCACGAATCCTGCTAGATGTTCCTGCGGCGAGGTTATCCCATTGGTGATGACGTGGATAACCTCGGGAGTAGGAACTCCGGCGGCTGCGGCCGAATGGAGATTCTCGAGGAGCTCGCTGCCCGACTGGTGAACAATGATCTTCGGCGACTGCTGACTGTTCTCATGGCCAACGACGGGCTGTTTGATCACTATGACCTCCGGCAGGGGCGTAGGAGGCGTGGTCGCTCTTGGTATAATGCCCATCTTCTCCAGCGTGGAGTTGACCGTCTCCACGATGACATGGCTTACATTCAACTCAAGCGGATGATCCTGTAGGATGCAGGCACCTGTTTGTGGATGGCAAGGCTTCTCATCGCAATCGCAGGCCTTGCGGCACATAATGCCATGGGTTCCCTGGGGACAGGGCAGTTCGCAACTTTACGAGAAAGTTATAAATTAAGTAAAATTAATTAAAATTAATTAAATAAAATAAGTAAGTATTATTTAAAGTTAGGAATTTTAAAATTCTACTCACAACTGTCCCGTCCAACCAGCTATGCAGTGGCATAATCCCGATTTGTTGTCGCAGGCCGCTCCATTTTGGCATTGACAGAGATTCTTGCAGTCCAAGCCCCAGCGATCATGATCACAACCTTTGAAAAGATCATTAAACCAGGAAATTATATAAATCTATCCATATACTCACGCTGTGTGCAGTGTTTGCCAATATATCCCTCTTCGCAGCTGCAAATGTCGGGCATTACGCAACTGCCACGCCCACAGCCGCCCCGGCAAATGGGTTTACAGGTGGCTTGGCTGTCGGATAGATTTCCCTCGTAGCCCTGGCAGCAAAAGCGAACTGTTCGGGTCTTGTTCAATTTCTGTAAGTAGTTTAGGTGGATATATTTTATTCTAGGCAAATTAATTTTGTTTAATTTATTTAATTTTATATTTCTTATGTTATTTTTAATATTTTTTTATTGTGTTTAAGCCAACATATTTTTGAAAACCAGTGTTTAATTAAACTAATGAAATAACAATGAGCTTTTAAAAGATCACAACACAAATTAAGCAGAGCCGAAAAGTATGCCCCATTATTCGGGGCACTTGACATTCTTCCTAAGAAATCTCCGACCTTCCACAAAATCTCTTTGATCCCAAAGGGGCATCATCGCAAGAGTCCATTAATTGGATAAACTTGTGAAGGGCCCTCCTCTCCATCAACCCTGTCAACGCCTCAGTGTCACTTGCCCCTGTGGCCAGTGGACTTTGGCCCAGCTCTTGACAGTTACAAAATTAAGATGGAGATTATTGTAAGTTCTCGAGCAATGTCCCCGCCCCAGTGGAATTACTATACCCCTTGAGTTGCCAATTTAATTGGATAACTGAATTCCGGGCGAGCTTCTCACACTCATTCCGGTTCCAGATTTTAGTCCCAGTCCAACACATTTCCCGACTCAAGCATTGTTCGCCGTCAAGCTGATGGATTCGTATCTGTGAATGTGTATCTGTATCTTTGTCTGCCTGCATATGTGTCCCCCCACGAATGAATAAGGCGGAAATTTTAATATAAACAGTGAAATTCGATTCGAGTTTGGTCTTCTGATTCATTGTATCTGCATAATTACGGGTGGCTTTTCAAATGTTTGTCATAAAAAGTAATTATATACAAGTTGAGCAATTTTTCTGTACATGTGCCACTCGAATAACCGCATGGCCCACTCCATTTCACCCCCTTCTCGGTGGTTTTTGTGTAGTTTGTGCCTATCAATCAGCTGTAATGACAATTTTTCCCCTGGAAAGCTATCGAAAATCTTTCGGCTCTTTTGTGACTCAAGTTACTGAACATTTTTCCACTGAGAGCTGAACTTCTTAGTGCGTTCATGTTGATGTTAATTAATTAAATTAAATTGGCGAATTAGGGGCTACATTTTATGACCAAAAAACAGAGTGTTGGCCAAGCAGGCGTTGACCAAAAGCGCCAGGAATGCGAGCGGCAGGGTTAGAAAATGGTTGCGGCAATCGGAGAAATATGTTTTTCGGGGTGCTGCTGGCCATTATGGTCATTCTGTGCGGACACCTTCGCACAAGGAGCCCCGAAGAGCTCCAATTAAAATAATTATGAAATTAATTCGAGCCAGGCAGCCAGCGATCTCGACTCGCACAAATCATTAGACACGAAACGGGGGAATCAGAAAAAAAATAAAATAAACTAAGCCAAAACTGGCTGCCTCTTGTCATGGCGATTGCAACTCGGCTTAGTGATGCAATCGAAAGTGTGTCAACAGCTTTGGCATCAAGTCGCCGCGCACAAGTGGAGCTCCTAATGCCCGGCCGCCGATCCAGCCTGGCCATAAGTGCTGGATTTTCCGCTTTTCATTTGCACTTTCCATCACTGACACCATGACATAATTATTTTGCCTACCCCTCTGGTCCGGTCCGCCGAAAAAAAAGTGGCAAAATAAATAAATGAATAGAAAACCGAAATAAAAAACCAGACGAGCCTGATTAGGCTCCGCGGATCAGGCAACTGCAACCGGATTCTGGCCATGCTTGGTCAACACTTGGCCGCTGCCGTTGTTTTCCTCGCTTTTCCCACTGCGCAGTTTCAAATGGCCAGGCGGCGGGTATTGTGGGCTTAATAGTTTGTTTGTCTGGCTCAAACAATTGCCTAAAATTAATAATTATTTATTGACACTAATGGGGAATCAGTTATCATCATTTATCAACGTAGCATTTAAAATATTATGATGCAAGTGTACTGGTTCTTGTATTTTAAATAAATAATGAAGGATCGTTAAAATAAACATGACAAATGGGTGGCTTTTGGTTATTTAATAATTTATGTTTTTACACTTGTTATCAGAATAATTATTACTTAGTAAAATACATGAAAAACCTTTCCTTTTTAATAAGCTTATTAATTAAAAAAAAAATTGAAAATAATTATTTTATTATTTTAATAGTTTTGTTAAAATTTTAAGTTTTATATAAAAAATATTTTAAAATTTAGTTAAAATGATATTTAGTTTTTAGAAAAATTTAACAACATTTTTCATAATACCCAAACATTTGATGAGCAATGCGTATACGCCCCATGTGCCCAGTAGTTCAAGAAGTTTGGCCAAGGACACACATGACTGTCAACCCAGAGACTTGGGGTCAAAACCGGTCGTTTGAAGCCCAACCAGGTGAAGTGGATCTGCAGCTCCTGCGGCGAAGCGCAGCTGCCACAAGTGCCACTCCACTCGACTTGACTTCCGTTCTCCTTCTCAGCTAAAGGACAGGAAACCCCCCTTAGATTGGCTAGAATTGCGCAATGCATCTGTTGGCGGACAGAACCCATATAGCGAGCAATATACTTTGTATGAGAAACGCAATCAAAGTCGGCCATCGAATCGGGGCAATTTATGGATATCGTGGTGAGCGGCTTCCTGGTTGGGCGAATCGAAATCGAAATCAGGTTTTTGGCGCAGGCTCCCCCAAGATGGTGGAAAATGTGGCCACGGCGAAGGTGTTGCCACTGGCTGGGACGACGATGACGCAAGAGATGCCCGCAAAGGCAGAGCCGGCAGTTGGAACACCTGCGACCATTTGGAACTCAGTCCGAACTCAAAACTCACCTGGACCCTCATCACCTCGCGCATTTCCGTCTTGTAGGTGGCGCACCGCGGCGGGATCTCCATGCACCAACTGGAGGTGCGCACGCGCACCGGCTGCATCTCGGGCACCTGGACATGCTCCACGTAGGGCTCCTCGCGGATGCAGATGTTCCCGGGACCCTGGATGGAGGGCAGGGCCACGGCCACAGACCCAGCTTCGATGTCCTTCAGGTTTGTGTTAATTTTCAGGCTGCTGTTTTGTCCTGATCCCAATGGTATAACCAAAACAAGGAGCAGGAGCAGCTTCCCCATTAGCCCTACTCGTTCCATTTTTGTTGTATTAAAAATTACAGTTTTACAAATATTAAGAATGGTTCACTTCATTATCACCTTTTTAGTAATTAATCATTTTTAAAAAAGGTTTTAAAAAAGAAAAATTGTTTCTAAAAATATATATTATTTTTAAGAAAACTTAAAAATTCTTTAGTCTCTGTAAAAATCGGAATTATTCAATCACTTGTTTGTAAATGCACTTTCACTGTCTTGGACTGAGATCCTGTTCTGCTCACAACGAGGATATTTTCCGTTATTCTGATATTATTATTAATTCCACCCGTTTTGATATGCGCTGCGTGTACGATTGGATCGCGAGTCTCGTGAAAACTGTTTCCCCGTTGGCGGTGATTCTGTTACTCACCCCGAATGTTCCTTCTCGAAATAAAGTAGACTACGAAAACACCAACAAAATACAGTAGTCATTGCAAATTGTCGTCGAGCCAATAAAGGCCGTCCGGGGTGGCGAGGGACTTGAGATCGGAGAGCGGAAGTAAGCACTGCACACCCAATTCTCCAATTCTACAAAGCGAAAGTGAAATGTAAAGCACCCCGGCGAACACACAAACAGTACGCACAGCCAAGTCTCCACTGAAAGTGAATGAAACGAAACTCCCCAAAGCGATTATGTATGTATACCCCATCCCCATCACCATCCCCTCGAGACCCACCAGATCTCGACGAGGGCGATGATTGCATCTAATTGAAATGTTGATCATGTCCTTAACATGCGGCTGTCATTGCGGGGCAAAAACCCGACTATGGCTGTTGTTTTCGTAGTCACTTTTGTTTTGTTTTGATTTGACTTGCGCTTTTCTTCAGCTCGAATGACGTTGATCTGAATCTGGGGATTAAATGGATTAACAGTAGTGTGGGAGAATTATATAAAATTAAATTATGGGAAATAAAATGAAGTTAAATGGATATTATCTCAGAAATTAAATCATAATTAATAATATTACTACTATAAACTGCGTTGATCTGAAACAGAAGATTAAATGTATTTAAATTAATAATTCCTTAGTAAGAAATCCAATTAAATTCTTATTAATCTTCTTATACAGTACCATAATTTTATAATTTTTTTGGTTTTATATGACAACATAATACCTATTTATTGATACTTAGAATATATATATTCCGTACATAATCCAGCAGATTAAAAATTAGTAAAGCTATAATTTGAGATCTTCTTACGTCAACAAAGATCATTCTTACTTATCTGGTCTAAGCATATTTAAAGAGATTTGCTCGTTTTACGCCTTGCCATCCCAATCGTCGCCATTAAAGTTGATTACAAGTATGCGGAAAGTGCGCGGCTCCATTCAGCTTACTTAGCTAAAGTGTCTTATTTCTTAGATAAACTTTAGAACAATGCCAACGAGATGACCGTGCAACACCCGATGATGATGCCCCCAACCCACACAAGTGTTGATTGTCTTGTTTACACCGAAGTCGCTGCTGCTGCTGCAATTTATTAAATCAAATTTATACACAACAAAAAACCAGTTGGCCACTCCACCAGAAACCGCAGACGGGGCAGCAGCTGCAGCATACAAAAAACAAAAGCACAACTATGAAATTGCAGCAGGTTTATTTATTTTATTTGATTAAATTGTAAGCAACCAGCAGGCCAACAACAAGCCCAACAAATGAGTGAGCAATGTGCGTGCGACGCCTGAGTTCCAATGACCCGCATGGGTTGCACTCACAGTCGCACTCGAAGCTGCCCCAAAACCCCCTCCCAGTACCCCTCTTATTTTGATACTGGTTTTGCAAGAGGGGTATCTAAAGAACAATAGGGCATACCAGGACTTAAAGAAAGTTTTTAGGATTTAAAATGGGATTAAGCAAATAATAAAGTCTATTGCCTGCCAGTTTTATATTTTCCATTCTATTCTGTCTAAAAATATTCTTCTTTCTCTTAATTTTTCAGACTGTTCTCGTAACAAAATCACCAGGTATCCCCAGTTCCATCAATCACCCAAGTTTATTTACCATTTTTGTTGCAATTTTTAGGGTGCAGCCAGTCGGGCAATTTGTCAGATTTGCGTTTTTTATTTTTCGTTTATTTCATTTTAGAATTGTGTGTGTGTATTTTTTGGCATTGATTCAAGTTCAACTTGGTTAGAGGTGCGACTTGAATAAGCGGAAGTTACTTATAAGTGGAACAACATTTTGTCTGACTGCTTGTTTACAGGTTCTTAAATTAGGCTGGGCAGAATTTCAAAAGAAATGTAAGCTGATGAACGAGTAAATCAGAAATATGAGGGGGTACAGGTAAATTGATGACTCTTGGCCCTTGCCGCCGTTGTAGTAACCTCCAAAGATTTGCAGGCCGGCCGTCTCGATGCTGCGCTTGCAGTAGTCGCCATCGTAGTTCCATCCCACATACTCGTTGGTCCGCAGATTCTCCTGACGCAGCCACTCCTCGAGGGGGGCAAAATATTCCCGGAGGGCGGTGCCATCCAAGCGACCCTCCCTCAGGGTTTCCTCAAGGACCTCTTGCCATGGCTGCGAGGCGCCCTTTGACATGAGGGTTCTGTGGAGAAAAAACAAAGGTAATGTTAGAATATTCATTTATTCCAAGTATTTATAACGATTTTCTTTGGGTGCTTAAAAATTGTATGATGTGAATGACTTACTATCTGCAGGTACTTTACAAAAGGAGAACAAGAATCAATTACATATACCTTCATTTAGCTAAAAATTTTATAATTATATATATTTTTTCTATATTTTACTTTAAGAAATAAATGCAATTAGTAAGAATATATAATCTTATATCTTTGGTCTCATAATAAAGTATGATAATTTAATTTGATTTAATTAAAAGCAATTTTATTTAAACACAACTGATTGGTGAAATTATATACTACTCATAAAACAGTATCCCTAAATTTTTTTAACTAATGCATCCTTTGGTTTTAAATTTATATATTATGAAAATAAAAATATTTATAAATACAAAAGCTTCCCCAGGAATGTGTACTATATTTTCTGGTGAAAACCTTTAACAAAAAACTTACTTGAGTAGGTTTCCTGCTGCTGGCTGGCGGTAAATGTCGCATTGGTGCAGAGGCTTCCTCGGATCGCCTGGAACATATTGGCCGGATTCGCGGCACAGGCCACGGTAGATCTGGAACTGCAGAACCGTGGAGAAAAAGTACCTGAAAGTGGAAGGAAACATGGCTTTAATGCGAGATTATGGCTTAGAACGGCTTCGGTCACGCTTCTTGGCCGATATAAACATTGTCAATTGTGTCGCGGTGAGAGTTGTGAGTTGCGAGCTGAGTCAGTCCGTGTTTTCGGTGTTGGCGGTTGTCAGTTGGATTCAGTTTGAGCTGCAGTCTCGAGCTGGCCGCTCGTTCGCATTCTGGCTCAAGGTCGAGCTCCAGTTGAAGCCTTAAACTAAAGCAAGTCGCCATAGCCAAAGCAAAGTCGTCGTTCTCTTGCAGTTTCGAAATCATGCAAAAGTCAAGTTTTGTGTCTTGTAATTGCCATTTGCTTTATGCTCATTTAATCGCATTTATGTTTATGGCATTTTTATTGTATTTTTATGGCGACGGCTGCGCAATCAAGTAGCAATTATTCAAAAGATAATTTCGAATTGGTTTTACCCTTAGCAGCTGGATTTCGCTTTTAAAATGAAAATCGAAAATCTTAATTTTATTTATAGTTCCTGAACTTTGTTTCTATTTCGAAGAAACTATTTTTGTTTTTTGCCGAGTCACTTCTTATTGATTTATAATCATTATGCAATATCTCCGCAGATTTTTGGGGATTTTTTTGGTTAGCACACAAAACTAGTAATAAGTTGAGGGCCAAGAACAAGTTCAACTAATGGCTTGCCTTTTGTTTCGTTTTTCTTTCTTTCTAAATGAGAGGGAAGAGCCGATAATTTGTTTTCGACCTTCTGTCAGGGGATTCCCTGAAACCAAGCTCTATAGAGACGGTTTTGGAACGTTTACTTCCCTACAACCCAGTGAGAATGTTGCAAGTGGGGTCTAAAAAAAATGGCATTTTTAATGCTCACTTTTCACAATGTTCGATCACGGCTGCAAGACTCCCAGACGTAGAAACAACGTGCCCCATGCACCATTAAGTGCATCAGCTTCAGATTCAGCCAACTACCACTGAAACTGCCAGCAACTTGGCCTGGTGGCTCAGTGGCTCTGTTGCTCCGGTGGCTCAGTGGTGGTGTGTTATGTTTTTGGCACTTGGCAGCGGTTGCCACATTGCCACATCGTCGCCACATTTTCCCAGAGACGCGACATGACCCAATAACAGGGATTAGGCAGCTGCCTCGTCTACTTGTGGTGTGGTGTTGCCGTTTGCCGTTTGCTGTCTCAACGCTTGCCATTCATTCGTTCAATCATTCAATCAAACACTCGTCCAGTCTGGCAGTCTTTTGGTCCAGTCAATCAGAGCCAACATTGTCGGCAATTAGTCCAATTTTTGTTGCTGCCACTGCAGCAGCAGCAGCCGCCGCTTTGTGCTAAAATTAAATGTTGCGAAAATTCTTTTCAACGTCTTAGGGGGACATGGAACATGTGTTTCATGAAAAATATGCGAAAAATCTTTAATTTTACGGAGACCACAAAGCGAGTACGATTATTCAACGGCCGACTGTCCGTTTGTCCGTTTTGAACGGCCGCGGGGCGTATGAACGATGTCGTTTATGCGATCGCCACTAATGATCGGTTTTCGGTTTTCGGGTTCTCGTCTCTCGTCGCCGAGCCATTCATTTTGGCCAATTGCTGAATGGGCCAGCTGAGCTGAGCTATCGATGGATCGATTTTCCCCCGAAGTCTCAGGCAATTGACATTTCTGCATTTGTCTGCCGGTTTTTGCGGACAATCAAAAGACTTGAGCCGCAAACTTCTTGCACAATGCCGAGTTTTCGCGGGGTTTTGTGACTCGGCCAGAGGCCAGATGGGTACTCAAGGAAAGCAAACGGGTGGAAATGTATTTTACAG